GATTTGCTAACGCAACTTTTACATAGAAGTCCTATACAATATACTTTTTATTAGGAAAGTAAATTAATCTAATCTTATTAATTAAACAAATTATAAAAAAAGGTGACTCGAACTTATTATCCAACTTTCTCTGGAGGAGTTAGCCAACACATAAGTTGTGGGGTGAAAGTTCAATGATTTAAACCTTATTTCTCATCAATGTGTCACTATATATGTGATTTTTTCTAAATCTACACGGGTGCATGATGCATTTGTCCGATTTGGTAATTTAGTTCCTGTCGATTTTTTCGACTCAGTTGGATCGAGTAGAAGTAGAAATAGATTAAATTAGATGTGTGATTATAAAAAAAAAAAAACTTATTATCACCTGAACAAACTAAAATGTTTGGATTGTAACTTTTTAAAATTTTTGTAAAAAATATATTATAACGATTTGATATATTTATATTAAAAAATTATGTTTATCGAAAACGTACAAAAAATAATTTTTTTTGGATGAAAAATGGCTTTGCAAGCAAGGCCACATGACCAAAGATGCTTTTCGGACGTGGTTGGCTTGGCAGAGATGCTAGCCTGGGTGGCGTGGGTGGAGTGTGGCCGTAGGATTGAACCTCCGTCCGCGGTTGGATTCAGAAAGAGGAGATGGTGGGGTGCCTGGTGGATTTGTTGAGTGTGTTAATCTACAGGGTTATGGGATCCCTGCGTTTACACGTGGTCCTCTGTGACACGAGTGGGAAAGAATTTGGGCAGTGATATACTTACAGAAACACGACAATCAACGGTGGTGATTCGACCTGGCTAGGCTGAGAGTCCTAGTCAAATCGGTATGTGTCTGACACGGAGTGCTCTCTGCGTTGGAATAAGTGGTATCTTCAAATTACCTTAATTACCCTCCTCGGTCCCAGACAACCAGTCAGACTGGGACTGAGGTATCTCAGCAATCATGGGGTAGCTATCCGTTTCAGTTTGTTTTCGAGATTGAATGAGATAATATATCAAAAAAAAAAAAAAAAAAAGATTGAATGGGTTAATTGTAGAATGCCACTTCTAGTTCTACACAGGATTAACCCAAGATGGATTAATCCTTTCCCAGTGTATCCATTGATAGGTTTGGATAAATATCGTTTCATTTGAATTTGAATTTCAACATGTTAATACATAAAAGATTTATTTATTAAATATTGTAATATTTTTATATGTCTATTTGAATTGTTATTTTCTAAAATTTTATAAATATATATATATATATACTATAATAATTTAACATATGTAAAGTAAAAAAAATATGTTCACAAAAAATATAAATTTTTTTTTAAAAATCACAATCCAAACAATGCCTTAATACTTATGTTTATGTTGACTTATATACAACCTTAATATTTTTATGCAGTTTTCTGCATCTATGGTAATGTTTTGACAATTGTCGTGGTCCAAAATCCACTGTCCGCGGAATCATTTGGAACAAGTGTAAGACCAGGTTGTCGTAGCATATAACCAATGACATTTATTTGGAACAAGTGTAATACTTTGTTTGGATTGGGCTTTATTTCTCAAAATTTATTTGCTTACATCATCATTACAATTTCCAATACACCATTTTACTTTCCCAATTATCTTTTTATCTCACATACATCACATCACAAAAAGTTCTACAGTAAAAATATCTCTAATAATTCACAATCCAAACAGTTTTTTATGTAACCAAAATTCAAGGGACCAACATCGAACGAAGGTTGATATTTTGCTCCAAATGCGCTTCCAGCGCTACATTGACAAGGTTAAGGAAGAGTACGGCTCGGATTGATTTATAATTAGAGGTAGTTCAAACTGATAAATGGTAAGTTCAACCATTCAACTCAAGTGCTAAGTGTTGGATAGCCTTTAACGGGTCCGAGTTGTATACAAACGTAGAGACCACACCCATCCAACAAATAAAATTGTTAAGAAATGAGGAATAAAACAAAAATAAAAAGCAGGGCACGACTAATTTTTATTTGCCACATTATTCAATAATTGTAAAGGTTGGCATATGTTATCAAAATTAGGCTGGTATAATATAGGAAAGAATAAATATAAAATGAAAAGAAAGAAATAGGTGGAGATGAAAATAACAATTCGAGACTTGTGAGCATGATTTCCTTAAAACAGATTTATCCCCTACAGGTAGAGCGCTCGAGGTTAAGTAGGCTATAGCCACTTTGAGTTTCCCTTTGAAATGAGGCACGTAAAGGAGCCACTACGAAGAAGTTCCGGGGGTTACGAAGGAAGCTTCTAGCTCATATTGGTCATGGGTTGAGAACAGGAATTGAACTCTATGAGATCTAATCTCCCATTGTTCCTCAGTAGCTCAGTGGTAGAGCGGTCGGCTGTTAACTGATTGGTCGTAGGTTCGAATCCTACTTGGAGATATTTGATTTATTCTGAATTCTTTAATTCAGAATAGAGGGGCTCGCTTTGTCCGTTAAGAGTAGGTAACCCGTTCATTGTCTATGCATTCTATCTCATCATATCACATTCTGCGAGATTTGAAAATCACCATTAATACCTCGGTGTAGGTCCGGGATAATCCTTTGTTCCATAGTCCTGGGGCTATTTACAACTAGACAATTAAGAATTCTAAGATGTACTAGTACTAGCACTGCATCTTTGATGCAGTCATCGATTCTCCCGAGAGGTCACAATTGCCGCGAGATATAAGAAGGCTTTTTTGTTCTGCTACTAATACTTGTACTTGTGATCTGTTTCCTAGGATACAACGGATTAGAAGTTCCTCTAATACACAACGGATCTAAAGTTGACATTCTAAAAATTAGAAGTTCTAAATTTAGATTCTCAAGCCACCGAAACACCCGGTAGATTTTTTCCACGGAAGAAGAGAGGAAAGAAAAAAGGGGTATAAGATCAAGCCCCGGATGTGCCGTAACCCCACGAAGAGACAAAGAGAAGCCCACCAATTGTCACCTGCAGGACCGATTTCCATTGGCCCGTCAAAAGAATTCTTAACAAGGGCATAATTGACTTTATGTTTGAATCGTTAGAAAAAGATACTACTGAAATGACGAGGGGGAAAGGTCTCCCTACCAAACAGACCTTAAAAGGACAAAAACTCGTTGGTGACTCATGACTGACTGGCCCACGCCGGATCTGAAAGGCCCTATCCAATCCAATTAATTTTCATTACTTTATCATTAATTATATTTCCCAAGAAAAACTGACCACGTCAGCCATTTGACTGGTGGCATTAGTTGGCCTGCATGACCTCCTATACTAGGACGCGTAGATCGATTCTTTAGGAGACACGTGTACGGCTAAGGTGACGTTGGAATAAATATTTTGGCCTACACGACTATCCATGCGCCAGCTCACCAACCCGACCTTTTGCTCTTTCTCCCTAATCCGTATGTTCAAAACAACCGTAATGTAACGGTTATCGTATAATCATCGTAGATGTATACCAGCCCATGTTAGCATCTAGGGCCAAAAAATAAAAAAATTAACTGCCTGCATCACTTTTGACTATTAAATAATTTTTTATCTCAAATTAACCACTCTAACTAACTAGTCTCTTGATCCACGAAATAAGCAAAACTCGAGTAATATAAGTGTCAAAACGTACGAGTAAATTTGCCCACTATTTTTTCAACTTGAATTCGCTCATTTCTTTTTTCAAAAAATCATCCCAAACTATGAAAAGTTTTTTTTGAATTTTGCTCTTAATCTACGAAATAACTAGAACTTGTGCAATACAAGCGCCAAAATGTAAGGATAAATTCGTTGACTACCTTCTCCATAAGATGATCCCAAACTTTCTGTATGCGAACCTTCTTATTTCATTTCTCAAGAATCATCCCAAATGTTAAAACATTTTTGCCAACAAAAAATTAGGACTCAATTTGGAGCCCTAATTAGCCTAGGTAGAGAATTGAGTAAAGGTTATGAACTTCTATTAATTATAGTTTAACTTAAGTTTTTCCCCCTTTTTTCCCTCTCATGCTTTTCTACTTTCTTTTCACCCACAACTATCAGGTCCAAGAGGGGTATAAGAGTCATCTACTATCCATTGGGGCACCCCTAGTAGTTAGTTTTACTCAAGTTAAGATATCTTAACTATAACCACGAGTTTTTTTTTTTTTTAAACTCATGAAGCTAAAGTTAGAAAACTAACAAAAAAAATCAGCATTTTGTTTAGAAAAATGTTATTTACACTATCATTTTTGTTAATCACATTCTCACTAGCATTTTTATTATATAATTTTCATATATTAAACTATGTAATACAATAAATGATATGAGTGCGATTAAAAAATATGGAGTGCAAATAATATTTGCTTTTATTTATAGAATATATTTTTTTTATACACTATTAGTATATACTTTTTTTTATATTAACAAGTTTCGATCATTCCACATAATATGAATTTAAATTTAAAAATTAAATAATATATATGTGTCATATATCTATAACTACTACCGTAAAAAATCACTATACATGCATAAAAAATTAATCCTTGTTTATAATGCATTTAATTAACAGTTGATGACTAACATCAAACAAAATCGAATCAGATTGGGTACTTTTTTTTTTAAATAATGCTCACATCTAATTATACGTATCCGTATACGAGAACAGGTCATTTACGAATTTACACGTGTAGAGTGACGTGGAACGTTGCCTTGGCGCCCCATTCTCCCTGCCTCTCTCTTTCCTCCTTCCTTTGTGGTTTTCTCTCCCTTTTATTAACTTTCTCTCTCTGCAGACTCATACTCTTAATTTTGCTTTCATTCCCTTGGCCATGTCATGTCTGCTTTCTTTTGAGAGTGAGAAAATGCGGGAGTTTTAAAGCTAGCGTCAAAATTTCGACGTTGATAAATATATTTTTAAAATTATTCGTCTTCTTCCGACGAGTTGTTTACCGTTTCCTCAGTTTAAGGTGCGTGCAAATTATGAAGTTTTTTTTTTCCCCTTGTTTGGCTTTTACATTTATGGAGAGTTTTTTGTTCTTCCGGAAGCATGATTGCTAGATTTTCATTTGCCTCTTGATCTTTCCGAATTGTCCAATTTTATGTGCTTTGGATAATAAATTTCTTATGTTCCTTCATGTAATCTACATAAGTTTGAATTCTTTAAAGTTTTTTGTCTGTTTTTCTGTAATGCGATTTATTCTGGTTTTAGTTTAATGGTTGCTAATTTGTGGAGAGTGGTAGAAGAAGTGGGCGAGAGGAAGAGCAGGATTGAGTTGAAACTTGGAAGAGCTCGTTCCTGAATGATTCAAAAAAAAAAAGAAAAAGAAAAAAGAAAGAGGGCCGGAAGTTGCTGGACTGTATGAATTTTGAAAATTTCGTAGAAAGTTATAAGTTACAGTGAAGTGAAACTTAGATAATTGCAGTTTATTTTTCTTTTCCCTGTTGAAGAAATGAAAAGCTAGAAATGTTTATGGGGTTAATTTTGTAATTATATAATGGGTTGTACTGGATCAACTATTCAACTTGATCGTTTTGTTTTTTGGCTGGGAGCCGGTAGTTAGTAAATGTCCAACGATCACCCTGGCCTTCTCTTTCCTGAGCTTCACCTTGGTTTCTAGTAGGTGGGTTGTTTTGGCGTAATTATTTACTATACAGTGTTACTATTTGCTTTAGTTGAGCTGTCATCTTTGCTTTATGGGTGGGTTGAAGGTAATGGGTTTCTGTTTAAACATATTTAGATATAAACCCTTTAACTTTTGGATTCTTTCCTCCTTGATTTGATTTTTTTTTGTTTTTTGTTTTTTTGTTTTCAGCTTTGGAAATGTTTGTTCACATATTCCAACCACTAGGGGAAATTGGGGTTGAAAAGGGTTCTTGGGGGAGGGGGGTGTTGGGCTGGTTTTGGGGAATTATACTGGTGTGTGCTGAACTTTTCATGCGCATGACCTAGAAAGGCTTCATTGACAAGAGGATGATGACATAATTGACGAATTGATAAAAAGTTTGGATTAATCTTTCCTACACTGTATGTGATTCTAATTTTTCTAGGCATTAGGAGGTTTAGATAAATGACACACAATCTTCATTCAAGCTTAAAATTCTCCTCTTGCACATTAGGCAGACATTCAAGGTTGCTGATGTAAAATAGTCTACAAAGATTAATCTCAAAAATTGTTTGATGGTGCTAGTTTGCTTGTTGTTATTGACTGTAGGGTCCTTGATAAAGCCAAACCAATGCAACCTAATTGCAGGAGAAGAGTTGTTCAGAATTTGCTAATGATACTGGATTTACTGTTAGGTTAGGAAAAGAATACGGAACAAATGAATCGAAATAACTTGTTGCCCACTGGCCAATTTTAGAAATCTGGTTTCATTCTTCTATCTTTACAGATGAAATCTTTCGAGTTACAAGTTATAAAATCCCATGAGTTATAATTTCCAACAAATCTCCTATTGGACTCAAGTGTCTCATGACTCATTCATGGCAAATTATTGGAATTTTACTAAAATTGGGTCCTAGTCCCATAATATTGATCCTTGTGGAGTGTTAGTATAAAAGTCGGGAAGCTAATAAGGAATCCTGATATGACATTTTAAGAAAGGATGGGCAGAAATCCAAGTATTGTCGGTGTTGATGGCTAGTGTTTAGCTGATTTCTTAGTCAGGTGACCTGAAGGACTTCATCTGTTGGTTTGAGTGGGATATTGATTAGGATCTTAAAGTATGATTGATGATGATTAGGTTAATTCTTGTAAGTTTCTAATGGTAGCATACTTGGGTTTGTTGTGGGGACTGTAATTTTTTTGAATTGCCTTGTGGTGAATTCTGTTCTTGGGAAATCAAACTTTTAATACTTGTTCCAGAAGATTATTTCTTGAATTTGCTTCCTACTTTATCTATGTTTACCACATGGCATGTCAGTTTCGCTTTGTTACTGCAGGTTTTTACTTTGCCAGTCAAAGCCTGGTGTTATGCAGCTAATTCTCTAAGGTGCTGAGTACGTGATTTTGGAACAAACTTCTAGCTTCTTTGTTTGAGTTGTTAAGGAGTTTTGGTGTTTAGCCATGGGAAATAGTGATGAGGCGAAGTCATCCAAGCCTGAGAAATCTTCTTCACCAGCACCAGTATGTCTGTTTAATATGATATATTTTTACATTGTGATTTAGAAGTATCTTGCTGGAATAGCTGAGGGTGATATTCAGGGAACAAAAAGATGAATCATTATTTGCTGGTCTTGCCACGGCAAGAAACTTTGTTTAATTTGTGCAAGTGTTCACTGGAAGTTAATTTTGATTTCTGTGTTTCAATTTGACAGGACCAGGCAAATGTTCATGTATATCCTGATTGGGCTGCAATGCAGGTTCTTTTTTGGTTATTAATTTTTTTTGGGCATTTACTTTCTGTATCTGTCTCTGTAAATAAGTTAACAAAGGTTTGTTGAACTTGTTTTGTTCAAAAAGTTGCTTGTGGTGATTCTGGCTTCTGTTTTCGTTAGGCATACTATGGTCCTCGAGTTGCTGTACCACCATATTTTAATTCAGCTGTTGCATCTGGTCACCCCCCTCATCCTTACATGTGGGGTCCAGCACAGGTATTGTAATTATCGTTTTTGCTTCCGATCATGAATTCCTCTTGAAGTCAGTTTGTCCTCACATAATCTCTGTTTTGGATTAGAATATCACCTTGTATGAATTTTTACTGGATACAAGATCCTTAGACTTCACACTTACGAATACCTATTGATGCAAGCCATCTACTGTTCCAGCCTATGATGTCACCTTATGGGACACCATATGCCGCAATCTACCCTCATGGAGGAGTTTATGCTCATCCTGGAGTTCCTTTAGTAAGTCCTCATTCCTTGTATTATTCATTAAGACTTATGGCTGTGAATGTGTAGATGCAGAATATGCTGCAGTTAGGTCTGACTTACTGTTTCTGAAAGATTTTAGTGCCCTTAATCACCTAGGTCTTCTCTTTGGCACTCATTTGGCCTTAGCAGTCATGAGTTGTGTTTAGAATAATATTATACTTCCTTTGTTACTACTGGCCTGCAATGTCACTCCCATGTTCAGAAAATCTCTTAATGAACTGAAATTAGTTAGATGATAGGTGTCGTTTTATGACAAGTTCATCATTTTTGGCTTTGCATTTTATTTATAGGGTTCACATGCTAATGGTCATGGGGTTCTGCCATCTCCTACTGTGACTGAAGCAACGGTAATCTAGTTAATTGATCATTATTAATTTTGCAATTTAAGCACCTTAGCCGTTAAGCAAGCTGGATTCGATTTGTTTGTGATGATTTAGGCTGCTGTTCCTTTGAGCTTGGATACACCTGTCAAGTCATCAGCAAATACAGACAAAGGTTTTACGAATAAGTTGAAAGGGTTTGATGGGCTTGCAATGTCAATAGGTAATGGCAGCAGTGACCGGGCTGGAGCAGGATCAGACCATGGGATTTCACAAAGGTTTGTTGACTAACACATCATGATAGTGTGCTAAATTCATCAAACTAGCACTAATGTGAGATTAAGGTGGTATATTTAGCATCTGATTCTTCCTTTGAATGCTGTAAACTTGTGTCCTGACACAGTGAGGATACTGAAGGGTCAAGTGATGGTAGTAATGGCAACACAACAAAGGTGAGGACTTCCAACAGAATTGTAGTTGGTAATGTATAACTTGGTCGTATTATTCTCATTCTGAGGCATAATATATACCGTGCTTTTTCTTATTGTGCTGTAGGTGGGTCAAAATAATAAGAAAAGAAGCCGCGAAGGAACTCCTAGCGATGGTAACCTTTGTCATTTACCTTTCACTGTTTGACCACGTATAGCCTTATCCAAAGTTTCTGAATCATTATTTCTCTGTAAAAAGCCACTGCTTTGCTTCGTGATTTTGTATATGTCATGAATTTGAGGCAAAACTCACTTTTTTTTTCCTGTTTCATTGCTTGGTTTTGCATCGTCTGACTTACAGCAGCTGGGGAAGGTAAGAATCTGACCCCAAAGAGTCCGATTCGTACAGGAGAAGTGAATGGGACTTCTGCCAAAGTGATGGGCATGACTGTTGCTACTGCTAATGAAGTTGAAAAGGTCATGGGAAGTGTACTTTCTCCGAATATGACTTCGACTCTTGAACTTAGAAACCCTTCTGGTGGAAATATGAAGACAAGTCCTGTTAGTGAAGCCTGGCTGCAGGTATTGCCTTGTGTTCCATTCTTTATCTTTCCTCTCGTACAGGGCTGTTAAATGGAATGAGCAGCTCGAAAGCTCGATTGAGCTCGACTCGATAAGGTTCGACCTTGGCTCGTCAATTGTGGTAAACGAGTCGTGCTCGAGCTCGAGATATGCTCGTTTAATTAACAAGCCGAGTAAGCTCGACTCGTTTGTTATCCGACTAGCTCGATTAGGCTCGATAAGGAAGGGTAAATATGTCATTTCATAATTCAAAAGTATAAAAATTGAAAATTATAGATTTTTATTGGGGTTAATTTGCACGAGCTTGAGCTCGAGCTCGTGCAAGCTCGGCTCGTCTGTGATGAACGAGTCGAGCTCGAGCCACATGTCCCATTTGGCGAGTCGAGTCCAAACACATTTTAAAGCTCGTCTGTCTAGTCGAGCAAGCTCGAGCCTGGCTCCAGTCTTGGTAGCCAAATATTCGGTTCGACTCGGCTCGATTAACAGCTCCACTCTCGTATGTATGAACTGAATGTTAAAAGTGTATCAACACAGCATCTATGCTTTTGAGATGTTAGTTATTCACAACTAAATGTTTGTCTGCATTTGTCTGATGATGCTTCACCTTTTTGGTAAAAAACCTGTAGTGACCTAGTCATTGGTTGGGACTCGTCATCACCTTTATTGCTTGCATGTTGTGTTTTCCGTGTTCAGAATGAGCGAGAGCTGAAGCGGGAAAGGAGGAAACAGTCAAATCGAGAATCTGCAAGGAGATCAAGATTGAGGAAACAGGTAAGCATGAGTACGCTGTTCTTGGTTTGAATGACCTTATAGAAGTACTCCCCTGTTAATATCTATCGCTTGCCATTTATCTGATTCATTTTGCCTGGCCTTTTCATATTCAGGCTGAGACTGAAGAACTAGCTAAAAAAGTTCAATCACTGACTGCCGAGAACCTAAGTTTGAAGTCTGAAATACACAAATTAACTGAGAGCTCTGAACGGCTGAAGCTTGAAAATGCTACTATGATGGTATGACGTTCTTCCCTGTAATTTGATGTCTTATTTATTATTGGTGATTTCTTGATGCATTGTCTTGCTGAAGCAAAACATTGAATTGAATTTGTCAGGAGAAACTGAAAAACCCACAACTGGGGCAGACTGGAAATTTGAGTTTAAGCAAGTTTGATGAAATGCGACTACAACCAGTTGGCACGGCAAATCTACTCGCCAGGGTAAACAACTCTGGTTCTGTTGACAGGAATGACGAGGAGGGTGAGGTGTTCGAGAATACAAAATCCGGGGCAAAGCTTCGCCAGCTGCTTGATGCAAACCCCCGCACGGATGCCGTGGCAGCTGGCTGAGTAGACGGTGTTCGTGGCTGTTGCCTGGATTTTATAACAAAGTAGATGGTGTGATTTTGGCATAATTACAAGTCCAAGATTACGACTGACATTAGAAAGAAGAAAAATAGTTGCACAGGATATTAAGAAATATTCTAGTCTAAATTTGTAATCGAGCTGTTGACAGCATTGAGATGTATTTTTGAATTCAGAATGCTGGGATGGCCGCCGTGACTGGTACTGGTAGTTGATTGTAAATTGAAGAATCTCAGAAAAAGCTTGGTTGGGCATGTAATATTAGATTTAGCTTTAACTTAATTCTGTAGCTTAAGCATTATTTAAAAAAAAAAAAAAGTTAATTATGTGCTCCCGGGTATCGATTCATGGATGTGTCTCCCTGCTAACGTGATGATTCTGTCTGTGAATGGGCAAAGAGGAAGCGTCTCGCGAGGTTGAATGAGAGGAACTAGCTGCCAGGGTTGGATGCCGTTACATCTTTGTTTGGATTGCAATTTTTCTCCGAAAAATTTTTATTGGTGGAATCCAAGTTGCATCATTTCCCAGCAACGCCGGTGAATCTCTAGACCTGGTCATTCCTGGATGTAATCTCAGGCCCATATTTGCAAGATGATCTGCAATGTTGGTCCCTTTGCCTCTAGAGAAGTTGAGGACAAAGGAATTGCTGTTCTTCTGTATCTGCTTTCCTCCCCAAGAGCGTTAAATTTATGCAACCCTTTCTTCATCAAATGGTAATATGGCAAACTGTCCCCATCTCCACAAATTATGAGTTGGGCGGCTAGTCATCGTGAGATTCTCAGTAATTGATATAGAGGAGGTGGACTTTTGATAGCAGTGGGGCGAAGCCCAGTCGTAAGATGTCATATTACGACTGTGTAGGTCTCAAGACTGACGGTCCATCAAGAACATATTCTCATCATTTGCTTTCATGATTGGTGTAATGAAAAAACTGGAATGGAGCAAGATGAGAGGCCCAAAAATCATCAACGACGACCGCACGTTCTACAAGTCTATCCTACAATGGAAAAAATTTTGGTTTTCCCCTTAAGAATCGACTGTTAGAACTCTGAACTGGGATTTAGGCACCACTAATTGCCTTCTATAATTTCCATGGAGTATATATAGTCGATAGAAATTGATGATAAAAAAAAGCACTTCCTTTTTTTTTTTTTTCAGAGGGAGGGAGGGAGGGAGGGGGGGGGGTGGTGGTGTGCTTGGACAGAGATAATTTCAATAACCAAAAGGGAAAAGTTTGATCAGAATATGGTTGATCAATATAAAAGAATTGTTTTTTTTTTTGGGTCGGTAAAATAAAAGTCTGGTTGGGTTTAGTTTCGATCACCGCCACGAGTCAAAACATACCCCTGGAACCCTAGATTGTGTACTAGAATTCCTATAAATCGCTTATAAACACAGTTCTTATATCAACAACGTGAATGATATAAAAATTTTATAAGAAAAAAAATCTGTCTTTGCCAACTGAACCGACTTATGATAGCACAAAAGAAATATATGCGGCTAGGTAGCCAATCTTCTTTGCAACAACTTTTGTTTTATATTAGAAAAAGAGGCCTTGAGCAACAACTTTTAAGTCGTACTTTTATCAACAATTGCAAATTGACCTTTGTTGAATTTGATAAACCTAATCCCAGAAGAACCCTCAAAAGCCGGCAACTCTTGAGGGCCTCCTAGGGACTTATCTACCCAACTTGACTTTTAAGTTGTACTAACAAAGCACAATTAGGATGAAAGCTTGTACTCCAAAAAGCAGTAGTGACACAAAATTCGATTCAGAGAAAAATCTTGCGGAGGATTATCTCAGTAAACTGACACAACTTTCCGGAATAGATATTTCGCATGTTCAACATGAATGGTCACAGGATTTCACTGGTAACCTTTGTAAGTAGGGACATTAGTCTGGTAATTGGTATGAAGTTTTGTCTTCACGCGCGAGCGAGCCCACAAGCACTACGATGAGGAACGAAAGAGGCGGAGTGGTGGGTTTGGAATCGGTCTGACTAATGAACGGTCTTAGGATTCTGGTCAAGTCGGCGAGTCACTGGAAGTTTGTTTATGTTTCATTGTCACGTGATTCCATTCCTAGCCACCATTCTTTTTTTATTTCTTGGTCGCTTGTCAATTCTCCCACCCATTTTTTTTTTTGATTTTACTCAAAGGCTCGTGACCCCAACTTTTCTCCACAAACAACACGATGCATTCTCTTCTTCTCTATTTAATACTACTATGAAACCTCTCTCTATTTTCTAATTCAAGTTTTACGTTTACTTTTTGTACATATAAAATACGTCCAAGTCTCCGCGTAATCCGAATATATATATACAACTGTGTGTGTGCGCGGATCCAACTTATCTTTTAGTACATCACGTTTTGCTGTTTTTGTTAATTGAACTAACGGCGACATACTTTCTCTTTTATATCTTGTTTAGTTTGAACTTGAAATTGAGTTTTGGATCCAAAGGCTCCATGTGCACATAAAGTTGAGAATACCCAAAATTTAATTCATCTTAACATGTGGCCAAAAGACTAGCTCTCCAATTCTATGAGTCCCTAATGAATATTATTATTATTAGGTCATACATGCATGAATATGAATACGAAGATTCATAGAGCCTTGACTAGCGTTGGAGCCTGGGGCTGCTCCAAGAGTTGCCGGCTTTTGGAGTATGCTCTGGGGTTTAGGTTTGTTGAGTCAGTAAGAGTCAATTGACTTCTTGACAGAAAAAGACGAAGCTCATTTTCAATTCACTTGGGGGTTAGTTAATTCTTAGTAGCAGGGTGGTTGTGTGAGTTCTAGTCCCACATCGGGGAAGGGGTTGGGGTTTGCTGGGTAGATAAGTCTCCTGGGGCTGCTCCAAGAGTTGCCGGCTTTTGGAGTATGCTCTGGGGTTTAGGTTTGTTGAGTCAGTAAGAGTCAATTGACTTCTTGACAGGAAAAGACTAGCGTTGGAGGAATTTTTTTTTTTTAATTATTGTCATTAATATCCATGCATGCATGGAACAAGTCGACAAGTTGGTTAAATGCTTAATTAGTACTATCGTTCACGCTCCTCTGGGTATTATTAATGGCACACTACCTCACAGTCATAGCTGGATATGTCAGAAACAATTCCAATGAATCACCTCAAAAAATAAAAACCAGCAGTAAATTTAATTTATTTTCCTCCCTTCCGAGAAGACGACCTCAAACAAATTGTTCTGGCAATCAAAATTCTTCTTAGCTTTTTGTCTTGTCAACAAAAAAAAAAAAAAAGGCTGATGGCCAATTAGCTACTCAGAAAGCGAGACAAACACCAATTTTTTTTTATCAAAACAATTTTCAATTAATTTTTTTTATCTCACATATATTACAGTATAAAAATTTTTTTTTTAAAAAAATCATGAATAATTCATTAAGCTATATTTTTCTATAAAATTTTCCAAAATAAATAAATAAATAATCCAAACGGGTACGAAGGTCGAAGTGCCGCATGAATCTGCTGATAAAACTGCCATTTTCCAAATCTTGACCGCTGGTGCAACAAGAAGGTTGTTCAGTTCTGGAACGAACGTGTCTCCTCGTTCTTCCCCATCTCTCTCTCTCTTTCTTTCTGACGAGATGAGCCAGGATTAACTACTCCTAGTAAATTACTACTAGAAAGAACCATAATACGTTCGTATTCCATCCCGTACAGTAATCAATAACGTACATTAGTTTTGAATTAAAAGAAGAACCTTGCCGTATTTAATTGATTCCTGAGCATACACCATCACACGTTCATGTTTCCTGCCTGCTACAAGCACCCATCCCCGGGCAGAGGTGGTGGGTTCAATTCTCTGTTTTATTTGTCTGCATTTCTACTCCTAATAGCTACAGTTAGTTATATCTAATTAAAAATGCATAATTCACTTTCATCTCCCGACACCTTTACGGCCGCCATGGATCGTCTAAAGTCAAGTTTTTTCCTCTTCTTAAATTATTATTATCTTGCTTCTTGTATTTAACTGAATCTCATTATTGCTTCCCTTTCTGGGCTTGTTTGAACTGTACATTTTCTCCTCTTACAGTCATCCTTGAGCTGGTAGTATTTCTCTCCAAAAGTTAGATCAAGTTACAGTACTATTTTCTCTAGCCGCGTATAATTTACCGCAATATACGGAGTGCTAGTTCTTGAATTAGCATTATTGCTTGGGGTTGGTTGAGTCCTTAATCTTGTGTCGGAGATTCGTTTTCTGAAAAGGGCTTAGAGCTTTTTTTGAGCATTTGACTAATGCTTTACAGTGTAGTCAAAGGCTTCTTTTACTACTACTACTGCTGCTGCTGCTGCTACTAATAGTGTATTTGTTGTCTTTTTCTTGGTTATAATTGTCACAGTTCTCTCGGGGGATGATGCGTTGGAGTGAATCTGGGGGAAAAAAATGTTGAAGCATTGCTAGGTGGTTGCCACATGTGACATTCTCTGGGATCCTCTTTTGGTGGGTTCAGAGATTGGGATTTACTCTTCACTCATTAACGTCCTGGGGGGTGTCTAGCTCTGCGGTAGGCTTTTGGATCTGAGGGGTGTCTTGGGCAGAGCTATTTACTATGAGTTCTGGCCCTTTTGAATTATTTCGCAAGGAAGAAGGTGAATGTAGTTGAAGTTGTCGGCTGGTGCTAGTGACCTTTTGTCTTTGTTATCTGGTTTGCAAAGTTTTCGCTCTTTAGTGGAGTTCAAATTTGGAAAACTGGGACATATAAAAGAGCGTGGGCTGTTTTTTTGAGCATAGGCAAGAAAGACATATTGGGTTTTAGGCTTTGAAATGGGGCATGCGGCAGTTTGGGATCCCAGAGCTGCAATTGAGATCACGAAGGATTGGAATGGGGTTGATCAGATAGTGCTTCGGAACCCTCAAGGCGCCTCTGCTCGGGTTAGATCCCTGTGGTTGCTTACTTGCTTTGATTGAGTTTGTTAAACTGGTTAACTCTTCTGATGAATTGCCTATGCAACAGTTCAAACTTTTAGGGAGATGTGACAAGTCTTGTTAATTTTTGTACTGATAATCCAGGTTAGTTTGCATGGAGGACAGGTTACTTCGTGGCGCAATGACCGAGGTGAAGAACTCTTATTTACTAGCAGTAAGGTGGGTAATCATAGATTTATTCTTCAATCCTATGCATAGTTGAGTTTCTTGCACATTATTACGCAATTTTGCTACTCCTTCCTTGGAAACATCTTCGATGTGCCATTCGATTTATGGAAGTTAGCTTGAAAGAAGCTCGTGGTACTTACTGCTTCTGATGTAATGTAGGCTATTTTTAAGCCTCCAAAAGCAATGCGTGGAGGAATTCCTATTTGTTT